TATATGTATATATAAAAATAAAAATCAGATTAGGTGACGGGACCAGCTTCAGTTACCATGGACATCAGGTGGTTCAAATTGGGCTTACTTCCGGATTGTTAGCAGAGATGATTCATCCAGCAGAATTTGCGTAATAATGAAGAAATACCAGTAAAAGGGACGGAGGAATAAACACACGATGTCAGCTTCTTGGTTTCGTCAAAAGAAGAAGGAATAAACTCACGCTCCATACAGGAAGAACAGGAAGTGCTCTTTCAAAATAAAATAAAAGTACAAATGAGAGCATACATATCTTAACACGCATTCAGAAAACCACTGTCTCTCAGAATTTTCTCAGTTCTTATGTGTTTTTAGTTTACATACCAAAAAATAAAATCAGGATTTAAGGTTTTTGGTGGGTAAAAATCAAATTAATTCATATGAATTCACCGCCGTTTTGAACGTGTTTACACGAGCTGCATGCTACACGGTGCGGGGCAGAGAGAACTTCTGGTTCAGACCACTTGTCAAAAATGAAATAATGAAAATCAAAACTGAGCGCTCGTCATCCATTAATTCCATTTTCGTTTTGTGCACAAAATCGGAAATCGGATTATGCTTCGTTATCCGATTTTGGTTTAATAAACGGAAAACGAAAAAAAAAAATTTTTGTTTGTTTTTTTCATTTTTTGTTTGAAACGAAAAAACGAACTGACTGAATGTACACGGACCCTGAAGGATGTCAAGAGCTCCTTTCATTTCAATGAGAAAACACATGGCAGAAAAAGATCAATATTTCTAAAAGTATAAATTACACAATAGCAAAAGTCAGGGCAGGGATGTCCTGAATGAGCTGAACGTTTTGATGTATGAAATGTTCAAACAAATGGTGGAACGAGTTAGATGCCAACAACTTCCAGAAGATGACCAGATCTCAGTGAGCGTCCTCTGTAAGCAGTTCAGTAATCTGACTGGCTGATCACTGCTCCAGTGTTGGGTCACTTCTCACAACAAGTCCAACAAGTCTCACACTCACACTCACATTATATGCCGAGGATAACTCTCAGCTACTACCACACCAGACCTCAGGTCAGTATCTGTTGGAGACATGTCTGTGATGGCCAATATACTGATGAGCTGTGGCAGCCATCTTGTCTTGGACTGACCATAATCATTTGTAGATGTATATCCAATGATTACTTTGAGAAGTTCATTATAATCCATAATTGTTCATGAAAGTTTTCTAACAGACTGACTCCATGGTTAATGTCAGTGCTCAGAGCCTGGTTTGGATCAGTGTCAGCTACTACATTCCCAAACATTAACCTGTAAACTGAATGGGCTGACGTCATCTGAAAGGCTCTGCGGCCATCTTGATCCAGTGTTTATGAAAGTTTAATTAAAATTCACTCAGTGATTCATGAACAGACACGCCCACACGGGTAAAAACATTATCGCCCGCTCTCCGTCCGGCTGTGGGTGATAATCATATGGAGGTCAGGAAATGTTTAGTGCTCTTTTCTACCAAACTTCGAAGCGTCCAGGAGCTAGACGCAGCCGGCCTGTTAACGAGTGACAGCGGCTGTCTCACCTGACGACAGGTGCGACATGTAATGAAACTAAACCTCAGTGAGCACATCCTGTCAGAATGAGGCAGCCATTCGTTCACGGAACCTTTTCTCGAACCTCACCTCGTCTCCTTGACCGAACTGGAGCCCGAGATTCACGAGGTGCTCCACCCGGATGAAGCCGTCGGCATCCTCGTCACAGACGTCGAAAACCTCCTTCAGCCTCCTCAGAAACTGCCAGAGCTGCTCCTGATCCGGAGAAACGGGCCTCTCCATCTCAGAAGCTGTTCTCGAAGCGTGGTCAATGATTTTCTGAATGACATTTAGCGTCAGAGAGTCGGTTCAGTGGTCGCCATCATCGCACCCATTCTCCTCCCGACTGTCACGCTCTGCTGCTGCTGATGTGACGTCACAGTAACCCGAGAAGTTACGGAAAAACCCGAATATTCACGATCTGAACACGAGGACTGCCGTCTCCATAGATCATAAAAGCTAGATCCCGCATTGTGTTAAAAACATAGATATCATATATGACTAGATACAGCATTGACCGTTATCGTCTATTGGCGCTGACGAGATTTAGGGCCGCCATCTTGAAACGGTCGACCGCTCCACTCAGTGTAACCTGTTTGACAGGAGCAATGAAGTATTTGCGCGTTTAATCAGTCAGAGCTAAATACTAAACTCATTCTCACGATTTTTTCCTCTGTAAATCTCAGGAGTACAGCCATTAAAGCTGAACACATGGTTCAGTGTATTTAAATATTCTTGGTGGAGTTAACATTAACACTAATAAAATATT